TGTGCCACGGGCACGCCGTCCTGGCCCGGCTTGAACTGGGCGCGGTTGCAGAGCGTGATCACCTGGCTGAGCAGCGCCCACGAGGCCGAGCTCTGGTCAAACGCCTCACCTGCCACAGGTGGGACAGGTGAGACACAGGTGGGACAGGTGGGACACGGACAGGTGAGACAGGTGAGGCCTCACCTGGCACAGGTGGCACAGGTGAGATACAGGTGAGACACGGACAGGTGAGGCCTCACCTGGCACAGGTGGGACAGGTGAGACACGGACAGGTGGGACATGGACAGGTGAGACAGGTGAGGCCTCACCTGGAACAGGTGGCACAGGTGAGATATGGACAGGTGAGACAGGTGAGGGACAGGTGAGGGACAGGTGAGGGACAGGTGGGACACGGACAGGTGAGACACAGGTGAGACACAGGTGAGAGACAGGTGAGGGACATGGACAGGTGATACATGGACAGGTGAGGGACAGGTGAGGGACATGGACAGGTGAGAACAGGTGAGATACAGGTGAGATATGGACAGGTGAGACAGGGACAGGTGAGATATGCACAGGTGGGACAGGTGAGAGATGAGGAACAGACAGGTGAGGTATGGACAGGTGAGACATGGACAGGTGAGGGACAGGTGGGACACGGACAGGTGGGACACGGACAGGTGGGCCACGGACAGGTGAGGGACAGGAGAGACACGGACAGGTGAGACACGGACCGGTGAGGCCTCACCTGGCACAGGTGGGACACGGACAGGTGAGGGACAGGTGAGACACGGACAGGTGAGACACGGACAGGTGAGGGACAGGTGAGGCCGCACCTGGCACAGGTGGCACAGGTGAGATATGGACAGGTGAGACAGGTGAGGGACAGGTGAGGGACAGGTGGGACACGGACAGGTGAGACACCCATAAAAACCTCAACACCTGCACATGTTCCAACCCCCCCAGGTGTGCCCAGGTGTGCCCAGGTGCCCGGTGCCCGTACCGTGACGGTGGCCAGCAGCCCCTCGGGCACGTAGGCCACCACGATGGCCATGAAGACCCCCCGAAACCCCCCTGACCTTTGGTGGAACCCATAAAAACCTCAACACCTGCACATGTTCCAACCCCCCCAGGTGCGCCCAGGTGCGCCCAGGTGCCCGGTGCCCGTACCGTGACGGTGGCCAGCAGCCCCTCGGGCACGTAGGCCACCACGATGGCCATGAAGAAGACGAGGGCGCGCAGGAAGGGGTAGCCGATCAGCATGGCCACCACGAAGAAGGTGCCGCCGAAGAAGACGGCCAGGCCGGCGATGATGTCCACGAAGTGCTCGATCTCCACCGCGATCGGCGTCTTCTCGTTCTCCACGCCCGACGCCAGGCTGGCGATGCGCCCGATCACCGTGCGGTCGCCCGTGCTGATCACCAGCCCCGTGGCCGTACCTGCGCAGGTGAGACAGGTGAGCCCAGGTGTGCCCAGGTGTGCCCAGGTGTGCCCAGGTGTGACCAGATGAGACCTAAGTGTGACCCAGGTGTGCCCAGGTGGGTCTAAGTGGGACTCAGGTATGACCCAGGTGTATCCCAGGTGTGCCCAGGTGTGCCCAGGTGTGTTCAGGTGAGACCCAGGTGTGCCAGGTGTGCCCAGGTGTGCCCAGGTGTGCCTAAGTGGGACCCAGGTATGACCCAGGTGTGTCCCAGGTGTGTCCCAGGTGTGCTCAGGTGTTCCTCAGGTGAGCCCAGGTGCACCAGGTGTGCTCAGGTGCCCCAGGTGTGTCCCCCAGGTGCCCCAGGTGCCCCAGGTGTGTCCCCCAGGTCCCCCAGGTGCCCCAGGTGCCCCCCAGGTGCCCCCAGGTGTGCTCAGGTGCCCCCAGCTGCCCCAGGTGTGCCCAGGTGTGTCCCCCAGGTGTGCCCCCCCAGGTGCGCTCACCCTCCAGGCACATGGTGGAGAAGAAGGCGATGTTGCGCGTCTCCAGGTGCGACTCGTGCGTGCACTCAGGTGAGCGCGGCTGCGGCTCCGACTCCCCGGTCAGCGAGGAATTGTCCACCTGGGCACGGCGGCCAGGTGAGCTACAGCTGCCCCAGGTGTGCCCAGGTGCGCCCAGGTTAGCTACAGCTGCCCCAGGTGTGCCCAGGTGAGCTACAGCTGCCCCAGGTGTGCCCAGGTGAGCTACAGCTGCCCCAGGTGTGCCCAGGTGTGCTACAGCTGCCCCAGGTGTGCACAGGTACATCCCCAGGTGTGCCCAGGTGTGCTATACCTGTCCCCAGGTGTGCCCAGATGTATCCCAGGTTCCCCAGGTGTGTCACACCTGTCCCCAGGTGCGCTCACCTTGCAGCCCTGGGCGGCCAGCACGCGGATGTCGGCCGGCACGCGGTCGCCGCCCTTGATCTCCACCAGGTCGCCCACCACGAGCTCGGCCGCGTTCACCTGCAGCACCTGCCCCGCCCGCACCACCGTGGCTTGCTGCGGGGGACAGGTGAGGCACACGCATGCAAATGAGGCCTCGGGTATGCAAATGAGGCCTCGGGTATGCAAATGAGGCCTCGGGTGTGCAAATCGGGCCCCCCAGGTGAGAGGATGAGGCATTTTGTATGCAAATGAGGTTCCCCAGGTGCACAGGTGAGACCCCAGGTGTGCAGGTGAGACCCCCCAAGTATGCAAATGAGGTTCCCCAGTGAGAGTATGAGGTCTCAGGTATGCAAATGAGGGGCCCAGGTATGCAAATGAGGGGCCCAGCTATGCAAATGAGGCCCCCTGGTATGCAAATGAGGCCTCAGGTATTCAAATTAGGCTCCTCAGGTGTGCAGGTGAGGGCCCCCAGGTGAGAGGATGAGATCCCAGGTATGCAAGTGAGGCCTCAGATATGCAAATGAGGTTCCCCAGGTGCACAGGTGAGACCCCAGGTGAGCAGGTGAGGGCCCAGATATGCAAATGAGGCCTCACGTATGCAAATTAGGCTCCCCTGGTGGGCATATGAGGCCCCCCCAGGTGAGAGGATGAGGCATTATGTATGCAAATTAGGCCCGCGTATGCAAATGAGGCCCGAGGTGTGCAGGTGAAGGCCCCCAGGTGAGAGAATGAGAAATCACGTATGCAAATGAGGGCCCCAGGTATGCAAATGAGGGCCCCAGGTGAGAGGATGAGGCATTACGTATGTAAACGAGGCCCCAAGTATGCAAATGAGGCCCCCAGGTATGCAAATGAGACCTCAGGTGTGCAGGTGAGGCCACCCCAGGTGAGAGGATGAGGTCTCAGGTATGCAAATGAGATCTCAGATATGCAAATGAGGTTCCTCAGGTGTACAGGTGAGACCCCAGGTGAGCAGGTGAGAGCCCAGGTATGCAAGTGAGGCCTCAGGTATGCAAATGAGCCCTCCCAGGTGTGAATGCAGCCCCAGGCGTGTGCCCAGGTGTGCCCAGGTGTGCCCAGGTGTGCCCAGGTGTGTCACAGGTAACCCCAGGTATGCCCAGGTGCTCCCAGGTATGCCTAACCCAAAATCCCCATTTTCCACCCAAATTTCACACAGTTTTCCCCATGTGTCCCCTCCCAGGTGTGCCCAGGTGTGCCCAGGTGTGCTCACCTGCGGGACCAGGCTGCGGAAGCTGGCGATGATGTTGGTGCTCTTGAACTCCTGGTAGTAGCCGAAGCAGCCGGTGACCACCACGACGGCGATGAGCGCCACGGCCAGGTACAGCTGCACAGGTGTGCCCAGGTGTGCCCAGGTGAGGCCGGGGGTGCCCAGGTGTGCCCAAATTCCCCAATTTTCACCGATTTTCCCCCAATTTTCATCAATTTCTTCCCATTTTTCACTGATTTTCCCCCAATTTTCCTGCCCCCAGGTGTGCCCAGGTGTGCCCAGGTGTGGTATGGGTATCTCAGGTGTGCCCAGGTAACACCAAACCCCCCAAAATCCCCATTTTCCACCCAAATTTCACCCAGTTTTTTTCCCTTTTCCCCTCCCAGGTGTGCCCAGGTGTGCCCAGGTGTGTCCAAATTCTCCAATTTTCACCGATTTCCCCCCAATTTTCATCAATTTCTCCCCAATTTTCACTGATTTTCCCCCATTTTTCACCATTTTCCCTCATTTCCCTGCCCCCAGGTGTGCCCAGGTGCCCCCAGGTGTGCCCAGGTGTGCCCAGGTAACCCAAAATCCCCATTTTCCACCCAAATTTCACCCAGGTTTTTTCCTTTTTCCCCTCCCAGGTGCCCCCAGGTGTGCCCAGGTGCGCCCAGGTGAGCCCAAAATCCCCCAAAATCCCCATTTCTCACCCAAATTTCACCCACTTTTTTCCATGTATCCCCTCCCAGGTGTGCCCAGGTAACCCAAAATCCCCATTTTCCACCCAAATTTCACCCAGTTTTTTCCATGTATCCCCTCCCAGGAGTGCCCAGGTGCGCCCAGGTGAGCCCAAAATTTTTTTCCATGTATCCCCTCCCAGCCGTGCCTATGTGCCCCCAGGTGTGCCCAGGTGTGCCCAGGTGCGCCCAGGTGCGCTCACGTTGTCCGAGCTGCCGCGGTCGCCCTCGCCCTCCTGCACGCCGTAGGCGATGAGGCAGATGGCCGCGGCCACCCACATGAGGCACTGCAGCCCTCCGGCCAGCTGCCGGCCGAAGCGGACACAGCCCGGCGTGCCGCGCGGCGGCCGCAGCGCGTTGGGGCCGTCCCGCAGGAGCCGTGAGCGCGTTGGGGCCGTCCCGCAGGAGCCACTTGGCTGCGGCTGCTTCGGACAGACCCTGGGTGGTCACTCAGGGGTCAGTGGTCACTCAGGGGTCAGTGGTCACTCAGGGGTCACTCAGGGGTCAGTGGGGTCAATGGGATCAATGAACGGTCAGTGGTCAGTGAGTGGTCAGTGGTCAGTCAGTGAATGGTCAGTGGTCAGTCAGTGGTCAGTGCTGTCAATGGGATCAGTGAGTGAATGGTCAGTGGTCAGTCAGTGAATGGTCAGTGGTCAGTCAGTGGTCAGTCAGTGGTCAGTGAGCACATTGGGGCCGTCCCGCAGGAGCCGCTCGGCTGCCGCCACCTCGGACAGGCCCTGGGGGACAGAGTGGTCACTCAGGGGTCACTCAGGGGTCAGTCAGTGGGGTCAGTGGGGTCAGTGGGATCAGTGAATGGTCAGTGGTCAGTCAGGGGTCAGTGGAGTCAATGGGATCAATGAATGGTCAGGGGTCACTCAGTGGTCAGTCAGTGAATGGTCAGTGGTCAGTGAATGGTCAGTGGTCAGTCAGTGGTCAGTCAGTGGTCAGTCAGTGGTCAGTCAGTGGTCAGTCAGTGGTCAGTGAGAGCTTTGGGGCCGTCCCGCAGGAGCCACTCGGCCCCCGCCGCCTCGGACAGACCCTGCGGACACAGGGAGTGGTCACTCAGGGGTCAGTCAATGGTCACTCAGGGGTCACTCAGGGGTCAGTGAATGGTCAGTGGGATCAGTGAATGGTCAGTTGTCAGGCAGTGAATGGTCAGTGGTCACTCAGGGGTCAGTGAATGGTCAGTGGGGTCAGTGGGATCAATGAATGGTCAGTGGTCAGTCAGGGGTCAGTGAGCGCGTTGGGGCCGTCCCGCAGGTCAGTGGTCAGTGAATGGTCAGTGGTCAGTCAGTGGTCAGTCAGTGGTCAGTCAGTGGTCAGTCAGTGGTCAGTCAGTGGTCAGTGAGAGCTTTGGGGCCGTCCCGCAGGAGCCACTCGGCCGCCGCCGCCTCGGACAGACCCTGCGGACACAGGGAGTGGTCACTCAGGGGTCAGTCAATGGTCACTCAGGGGTCACTCAGGGGTCAGTGAATGGTCAGTGGGATCAGTGAATGGTCAGTTGTCAGGCAGTGAATGGTCAGTGGTCACTCAGGGGTCAGTGAATGGTCAGTGGGGTCAGTGGGATCAATGAATGGTCAGTGGTCAGTCAGGGGTCAGTGGTCACTCAGGGGTCAGTCAGGGGTCACTCAGTGGTCACTCAGTGGTCACTCAGTGGTCACTCAGGGGTCAGTGGTCACTCAGGGGTCAGTGAATGGTCAGTGGGGTCAGTGGGATCAATGAATGGTCAGTGGTCAGTCAGGGGTCAGTGGTCACTCAGGGGTCAGTCAGGGGTCACTCAGTGGTCACTCAGTGGTCACTCAGTGGTCACTCAGTGGTCACTCAGTGGTCACTCAGTGGTCACTCAGTGGTCACTCAGTGGTCACTCAGGGTCACTGTGGTCACTCTCACCTTGGTGGCGCTCGTGTTGTATTTGAGCTCGAGCTCCTTCACGTCCAGTTTGTGATCATCCTGCGGGCACCAGTACGGACCAGTATAAACCAGTATGGACCGGTATGGACCAGTATAAACCGGTACGGACCAGTATGGACCAGTACGGACCAGTGCGGACCAGTAACGCCAACTCCCTCCCAGTCCAAACCAATCCAAACCAGTATAACCCAGTCCCCTGCAGTCCCTCCCAGTCCCTCCCAGTATAACCCAGTAAAACCAGTATAAACCAGTATAACCCTGTCCCTCTAGTCCCTCCCAGTATAAACCAGCATAGGCCAGTATAAACCAGTCCAAACCAGTATAAACCAGTACAACCCAGTCCTTCTCAGTCCCTCCCAGTATAAACCAGTCCCCCCAGTCCCTCCCAGTACAAACCAGTATAAACCAGTATAAACCAGTATAAGCAGTACAAACCAGTATAGACCAGTATAACCAGTATAAACCAGTAAAATCCAGTATCACCCAGTGCCCCCCAGTCCCTCCCAGTATAAACCAGCCAAGTAAAACCAGTATAAACCAGTATAACCCAGTATAACCAGTCCAAACCAGTCCAAACCAGTCCCTCCCAGTATAACCAGTATCCCCAGTCCCCCCGGCCGCACCAGCTCCATCTCCCTCTTCATCTCCTTCCTCCCTCCTCCTCCTCCATCTCTCCTTGATCCTCCCTCCCGTCCCTCTCTCCCCTCAATCCTCCCTCCTCCATCTCTCCTCCATCCCTCCACGTCTCTCTCTCCTTCCCTCCCTCCCTCCTTCCATCTCCCCTCTCTCCTCCCTCTCTCCCTCCATTCCTCCCTCATTCCATCCCCCCTCAATCCTCCTTCCTCCCTCTCCCTCCTCCCTCTCTCCACGTCTCACTCCCTCCTCCCGTCCCTCTCTCCCCTCATTCCTCCCTCCTCCATCTCTCCCTCTCCCCTTCCCCCTTCACCTGCCTCCATCTCCCCTCCATCCATTCCCTCCTTCCCGCTCCATCTCCCCTCTTTCCTTCATCTCTCCCTCCCTTCCTCCCTCCCTCCTCCACCCTTCTCCATCTCTCTCCCTCCTCCCTCCCTCATCTTGTCCCTCTCTCCCCTCATTCCTCCCCCCTTCTGTTCCCCGTCCCCACTCCATCTCCCCTCTTTCCTCCATCCCTCCACGTCTCCCTCCCTCCCTCCCTCCCTCCCTGGAGGGGGGAGGGGACACCTGGGCACCCCCGGGGGTCACTTTGGGGGGGGGAGGGGACACCTGGGCACACCTGAGCACACCTGGGCACCCCCGGGGGTCACACCTGGGGGGGGGGCGGGGTCTCCCGTCCTTGCCGCCGCCCCTCCCCCCCCGTTATCGACCCGGGGTTATCGGGGTGGGGGAGGGGCGGCCCCGCTCCCTTTGTACCGCGCGTTAATGAGTGATCAGGGCGGCAATTAATGATTAATGAAGCGATTAATGGCTGCGTTAATGAGTGAGTTATTAGCGATTAATGGCAGATTAATGGCGGCCGTAATTAGTGATTAATATGGGGATTAATGACGGCGGTAATTAATGATTTATTCGTTGTTAATAGGCGATTAATGACTGTGGTAATTAACGATTTATTAGTGATTAATGGCAGATTTAATTCGTGATTTATCGGCGATTAATGACGGCGGTAATTAATGATTTATTAGGTGTTAATGGGGGATTAATGACGGCCGTAATTAATGATTTAAGAGTTACTAATGGGAGATTAATGACGGCCATAACTAATTATTTATTAGGTGTTAATGGGGGATTAATGACAGCGCTAATTAATGATTTATTAGTGATTAATGGCAGTGTTCATTCGTGATTTATTAGCGATTAACGGGAGATTAATGACAGTGGTAATTAATGATTTATTAGGGATTAATGGGCGATTAATGACTGCGGTAATGAATGGTTAATTGGCGATTAACGGGAGTTTAATGATGGCGGCAATTAATGATTTATTAGTGATTAATAGGGGAATAATGACAGCCGTAATTAATGATTAATTAGCAATTAAGGACAGTAATAATTAACCATTTATTAGGGATTAATGGGAAACTAATGACAATTTTAATTAATGGTTAATTAGCGATTAATGGCCAGTCAATGACGGCGTTAATTAATGACTTATTAGTGATTAACGAGACATGAATGGGGGGAAATTGGGAATTTTGGGGGGAAAAATTGGGAATTTTGGAAAGAAAAAATATCCAAAAAATCCCCAAAAATTCCAGAAAAATTCCTCAAAAAGTCCCCAAATTTTCATTAAAAAAAAAAACCAAAAATCCCCCAAAAATCCCAAAAAAATCCCAAAATGTCCCAGAAAACCCCAAAAAATCCCAATAAACCCCCCTAAAATCCCCAAAATTTCCCCCCAAAATCACAAAATTTATCTAAAATCCCCCTAAAAACCAACAAAAAACCCAAAAAAACTTAAAAAAAATTCCCCCCAAAAAATTCCCAACCCCCCCCCCGGAAAACTGGCAAAAAACCTCCCAAAATCCCAAATTTCCCTAAAAAAACACCCCCAAAATTAATCCAAAATATCCCAGAAAAATTTTAAAAAATCCCCAAATTTCCCTTAAAAAAAATCCCCGAAAAAAATCCCCAAAATTTCCCCAATAAATCCCCCAAAAATCACCAAAACCCCCCCGAAACCCCCCAAAAAATCAACAAAAACCCCAAAATTTATCTGAAAAAAATTGCAAAAAATTCCTCCCAAATTCCCCCTAAAATTCCCCCCCAAAAAAATCCCAAAATTCCCCCCAAAATCCTACAAAATTTACCAAAAAAACCCTCCAAAAATCCCAAAAAAACCCCAAAAAATCATCCAAAAAAACCCAAAAATCAACAAAAAATCCCCAAATTTCCCTGAAAAAAATCCCAAAAAAATCCCAAACAAAACCCCCAAACATCCCCAAAATTTCCCCCCAAAAACCCCCAAAATTTACCAAAAACACCCCCAAAAACAACCCCAAAAAAACCCAAAAAATCCCCCAAACCCCAAAAAATAATCAAAAAACCCCCCAAAATTTTAAAAAATTCCTCAAAAATCCACAAATTTCTCCTTAAAAAAACCCCAACCCCAAAAACCCCCAAAAACCCCCAAAAAACCCCAAAAAACCCCAAAAATCCCCCAAAAAACCAGGCCACGCCCCCACCCTCCCGCACCATTACGTCATTGAACCCGGCCCCGTGGGCGTGGCCTCGCTGCCGGGGAGGTGACGTCACCGCTGAACCCGATCCGTGGGCGTGGCTTCCGGGGCCAGGGGGCGTGGCCAAGGGGCGGACGGCAATGGCGGCGCTGCGCGTGCTCGTGGGGGTGAAGCGCGTCATTGACTTCGCCGTCAAGGTAAGGGCACACCTGGGGGCACCTGGGGGCACCTGGGCACCCACCCGGGCACCCCCAAACCCCCCCAAAGCTGGCACCGCCCCCCGACCCCGAAATCCCCAAATTTGGGATTTTTTGGGATATTTTTTGGTATTTTTTAGTGCTTTTTTGGGGTGTTTTTGGGGGGATTTTTGGGTCTGGGCACACCTGGGCACACCTGGGTACACCTGGATATGCCTGGGCACACCTGGGCACACCTGAGGGCACCTGGAGGGGAGAAAATGGGGAAAACGGTGAAATTTGGGTGAAAAAAGGGTTAAAAATGGGGTTTTTAGGGGGGAATTGGTGTTTTGGGCACACCTGGGCACACCTGGGGGCATTTGCATTGGGCAGAGTGGCGAAAATTGGGTGAAAATCGGGCGAAAAACGGCTTTAAAATGGGGTTTTTGTTGGGAGATTTGGGGTTTGGGCACACCTGGGCACACCTGGGCGCACCTGGGCACAGCTGGTTACACCTTGGCACAGGTGGATGGGCAAAAATGGGGAAAAAATGGCGAAAATTGGGTGAAAAATGGCTTAAAAATGGGGTTTTTAGTGGGAAATTTGGGTTTCTGGGCACGCCTGGGCACACCTGGGCACACCTGGAGGGGAGAAAATGGGGAAAAACGGCGAAAATTGGGCGAAAAGCGGGTGAAAAATGGCTTAAAAATGGGGTTTTTAGTGGGAGATTTGGGTTTCTGGGCACACCTGGGCACACCTGGAGGGGAGAAAATGGGGAAAAACGGCGAAAATTGGGCGAAAAGCGGGTGAAAAATGGCTTAAAAATGGGGTTTTTAGTGGGAAATTTGGGTTTCTGGGCACACCTGGGCACACCTGGATGGGCAAAAATTGGGAAAAATGACGAAAATTGGGCAAGAATGGTGAAATTTGGGTGAAAATTGGGTGAAAAACGGGTGAAAAATGGGTGAAAAATGGGATTTTTAGGGGGAAATTGGGGTTTTGGGCA